TAGATTATTTGGAGTTGTTCTTTCCTAGTTATTAAATTTATTTTTAACTATTTAAATTTTGCATCAACATTAAAAAGAAAAATTATAGAATTATCATGGATAAAATATATAATTATATATGGACTATTATAAAGAGTAGACTAATCAAATGAAAGAATGGCCATTAAAATCTCGTTTTCGCGAAAAACCCTAACCCGCTAAAAAAAACTCAAACTATTACAGCCTAACTAACTATAATCCAAAATTATTACAACCTCACTAATTATAATATTATATACTGAAATTATAATTATTAATTTACATTTTATAATTATTTTATTAGACAAATAATAACAAATTAAAAATATTTTATAATATTATCTAATTTAAAATGTATTATTGACAACTGTAAAAAAAATAGTACATTACATGATTTATAATGTAAAAATTCATAAATAAAATAAAAGATTTGGTTATCAATGTAAAAATTAATAAAATGCGTACAAATTTTGGAGATAACACTTCAATTTTTCAAAAATTTATTTTTTTAGGTTTCTATAATAAATTTAGTAAAAGAGATTGTTAGTAGAAAGAGGGAGATTTCAAATAGAATAAACTTTTTATTTTTATCTTTTTTATACCTTTCATATTATTTACAAAAAAAATTATACCACTATATACAACAAAAATTAACTATTATATAAAAAATTAATTTTTTTATTTTTCATTTTTTTGTCTTTATATTATTTACAAAAATATTTATATTTATACCGACCACTATATACACAACAAAAATATTTATATTTATACCAACCACTATATATACAACAAAAATGCAACACATGCCCAAGGGGATTCGAATACAACAAAAATATTTATATTTATACCGACCACTATATATACAACAAAAATGCAACACATGCCCAATGGGATTCGAATACAACAAAAATATTTATATTTATACCAACCACTATATACACAACAAAAATGCAACATATGCCCAAAGGGATTCGAATGCAATACATGCCCAAAGGGATGTCCAAGGGGATTCGACTTTGGGACCTCAAGCAAAAAAATCAAAGTCAGAACCATCAAACCATCTAACTACATGTGATTATAAATTGCAATTTAATTGACTATATTTACATTTCGTTTTCATTTAATGATGTTCGGAAATTATCCCACATCGAAAGATGTGTATTCAACTTTAGTATAAAAATACCTATGCAATATGAACTATAAAATGTGTATAAGAATATTAGGGCAACCTCGCATGTGCGCTCGGACACACGTGTGCGCATGTGAGTGTACGTGGGGCACGCTTCCACGTGCACTCGGACACACGTGTGCACGTGTGAATGTGCGTGGGGCACACTTGCACATGCGCTCGGACACACGTGTACACGTGTGAGTGTGCGTGGGGCACGCTCTCACGTATGCTCGAACACACATGTGTGTGGGGCACGCTCGCTCGTGCGTGTCATGCGTTACGTGTGTGAACAGGGCTGAACTGGATGGGAACCAGCGGTTCCACTCTAGAACCGGGCTGAATCGGATGGGAACCGACGGTTCCACTCTAGAACCGGGGCGGTTCCCGATTTTTGGTTGGAACCGGCACGGGCACGCGTGTTTCCGAGTCGAACCGGGCGAGTCCGGTTCGACTCGCAGTTTTTTAAAACACTGCGGTTTACCATAGAAAGCCATGGCATTCATGTTCAGTATTTTCTCTACCTTAACAAAGATAAAAAAGACAGGCCACAGACTTAACAGAAGCAAAGAACATAGCCTGGAAAATATTAGCATGCAGAAGAAGTTTTAAGTCATTGCACGAGAGGAGAGAGAGAGAGATTCTCATGTCCAATACGGTTCATAGATAGATAGATAGAGAGAGAGATTCTCATATCTGATGTTCCCCATTTTATTCAATTAAAATGTAAGAAACAACACGTATTAAGGGACGTCGATAAAACATCATGAACATCTATTAAGTTACAACATTGGCAAGGTCTTAAGGTTTACAATGTAAGTAGAATGAAGAATCATCCTCCTCGGGCATGCATGTGTTTGTGTGTGTGTGTTTTGGGGTTGGGGGATCCCCGGGGGGGTGGGAGAGAGCTACCGTCTCATGGTGGGTACTCCAAGATGCGGTCTAATAAGGGTTTGGAGACCATATAACTTTATATATTGAAGG